TGAATTAAGTGTGTATATGGAGGGTCCACTGTTCTGCTCACAAAGGCGAGATAATCCAAGTAATTTACACAATGCACAGGGCTGTGTTGACATGGTGTAAAGGAGGGCCTTGCCTTTTATGTCCTACTGAATTGGAGCATCTCATTAAATCGAAACGGTCAATTATACGTTGACAGAAGACTTTTTTTTTTTTGGTTTGCTCTTAAGCAGTTTGACCTGATCGGCATCACTTCTCACTATGTGCCAAATAAATATTTTAGTGCCGGGGGAAAATTACAGGATATTAAATAAACATAATAACATGTAATGCTAAGTAACTTTCTACGTGATCTGCGACTAGAATAAAAGCAAGAACATTTCAAACATGATTATTTAATATTATGACATTTTCGTCACTATTATATCTTTAAACTCTAATAATGAGAATCTATAGTATTTCGGAGTATTTTTATTTATCAAATCACTGTAGCCAGGTATAAGTTACTAAGTTCTCACATGTCCGGTGTCAGGAAATTACAACATGTAGCCTTGTCCGACTGAAATTTTACTTTATATTAAAGCCTAAAACTAATTACTTAAAGCTAAATTATTGATGTTTTTCCTCTTTATTTCACTGGATTTTTTTTTTTTACTTATTGTCTTTGGGAGGTAAAGTATAACAATATTGTCACCATGGACCGATTATTTATTTGCCTTGTCACAGTTTCAAAAGCAGCTGAACACTTTTACAAAAAAGATGATCAACAAAGCTATTACGTTTTTAGAAATTGAAAAGCAATTTCATAAGGAACAATTCAGATACACTCACAAATAATGCAATTAAGTAAAACTAAAGATTTAAATAAAGATGTGCATTGTTTTATATTTACTAATGGCCATTCACCCATTGACATAAATTATACACGACACTCACTTAAGTTTATTTACTCTCCAAACCTTAATTGCATCAAACACATGACAATTAAAAAGAAGAAGAAGAAAAGGAAAAAGAAAAAACTAAGAATTACATTGATTATAAACAAACAACTAAAAGCAATTATTATTATCATTATTATTATTTTAGTTTTATAAAGACATCAACTTAAATGTGTTAGCTCATTACTGTGTGTCTGTCATGTTTATTTAGATACGAAAATGAAATGTCCTCATTTAATCTACACTAATGCAGGTGTCCAGGAGAGAGGTTACAGACGCGGCGCAGGTTGCACAGGTGAGCTGCGCTGTGGGAGAGCGCAAGACACATTTCTTGTTGATACAATAACAAAGGATTACATTATTATTTTCCACAGGCCTTTCATATATTTGAAACGCATATTTGAACTAAATCAACAATGCTGTATTCACATTTCACAAAGCACATAAAGTTTCTATAACTTTACCATGTCAAAAAGGAAGATTTTAAATATATTTATTCACACCACCTTTTCTCCTATAAAATTAGTACGAATAATGATATAATCTACAATCACTCAGACAGCCAAAAATTGCTCCATGATTTGCACATCTGGACAGCAGGCTAATAGAAACAAAAACAGCATCATTTTTTTGAAACCAAACTAATTATAGCATGAACGACTATTCGATATAGGCTATATATATATATCGTGTAAAATAAAATAAAACAAAAACTAAAAACTAAACCATACAATACAGTATAAAAACTTATTATGAACCGAGCAGGGAAATAAGATGTCACAAAAGGAGTTCATTAGCAGTCAGAGAAATGGGGTTCTTATAGGCAGAGGGGTTAGGTGGAGCAGAATGCTGAAACCTGCTCTCTGGGGACCTTTACATCAAAGCGAGTGAAATCACACTCCCAGAGAACTTTTAAGCGCTACATTGACAACGGAACTCTTAAAGCCTGAAGACTATTCTATATAGGCTATATATATATATCGTGTAAAATAAAATAAAACAAAAACTAAAAACTAAACCATACAATACAGTATAAAAACTTATTATGAACCGAGCAGGGAAATAAGATGTCACAAAAGGAGTTCATTAGCAGTCAGAGAAATGGGGTTCTTATAGGCAGAGGGGTTAGGTGGAGCAGAATGCTGAAACCTGCTCTCTGGGGACCTTTACATCAAAGCGAGTGAAATCACACTCCCAGAGAACTTTTAAGCGCTACATTGACAACGGAACTCTTAAAGCCTGAATGTCACTTTTGTCAACCCAAACCGAGTATAGAAAAGTGCGACTTTAAAACACCTGAGCACAGTGTGGCAGAACAGGCGCGATAGATACCCTGTCGCCTTTACTCGGGTTAGAACAGTAGGTGACACACCACATCAGTGTCACTTGGTAAAGACTCGGATTCGGATAGCGTAACACGTTCATTAAGCGTCAGTCCTGCATCCGCGCACTTGAAATGGGTATAAGGACACAGTGAGAAAAAAGAGATTAATGAAAGCAAAATCTGAGCATCTTGGTTAAGCGGTAGCTCAAAAATGCCCCTTTAACAGCAGGACATCTCGGTGTGCTTAGTAAGAAATGGAAGCATTTGATCTTTTAAAACTGTGAATCTCCAATCCAAAGTTAAAGGACTTCATGAGTTAATGTTCCAAGCAGCATTAAAGTTCTGGAAATAGCGTATAGTCCCCCAGAGTAAAGTTCAACAGGTTCTATCAAATACTCTCAGTAACTTTTCCATGGCGCAATCTGATAGCCTACCCAAAATACTTCTCCTCCTTCACATTTGGATCCTGTTGAGCGATGCGAGCTCAGTGCCGCCAGTCTCAAGATCAAACTCTGGGACTGATTTTTTTTTAACTCTTGACATTTTTGTTTTAACGGAGTGGAAACAATGTTGGCTGAGGAAAAAAAGTAGAGAACCGATAAAATACAGTAGCTTTAAAGATCGACAAGAATCATAAACAACAATGCATTTTACATTAAGGTTAAATAAAAAAATCTAAATGATATTATGTTAAGTATGTATTTTGTTAATGAAACGAAGTCTACAAAGTCTTGATAAGGGCGTAAGAGGAGTGAGGTGAATTGTGGCACCATCACCAGTTAGAAATGACTAACTGTAAACTAATCTGTAAAAATATAATGGAATTAAGAAAGAAAACGAATTTTGAAGTATAGGCCTAATTTTCTTGTGTTTATCATTTGATTTGTGATCATGTTATTGGATGTTAAACTAGAGAACTGGCATCATCTGAACGAGGAGGCTATTATGTTGAATTTGATATTCATGTAAATAAATAAATAAAATGGCTACAACGAGGGTAACTTTACAGGAACTTCTGTTGGACTCACAAAATTAGACATTAGACATAAAATTAGACAGTCATTTTTGCGAGAAAGATTATAGCACACACACACACACAGGTTTCCATTTTTTATGGGGATATTCCATAGATGTAATTACTTTAATACTCTACAAACTGCGTTTTCTATCCCCAACTCCAACCCTATACCCCTAAACCTACTTTAAACCACACAAAAATATTATGCTATTTTAGATTTCATCAAATTGTATTCTGTATGATTTATGTTATGTTTTATGTATTTATATATTTTGCAAGTTATTATGTAAGTTGTTAGGTAAGTTGTTTGTAAGTTATGTAACTTATTATCCTATATTTTATGCATTTTGTTGATTATGTTTTCAATTTCATTTGCACTTTTGACTAAAATATGTTCGATTAAAATATTTAAAATGACATAACGCTTGGCTGGGTGTGGGATGGCGATGGGGGTGCCAAAATTCTGAAATTCTGAAAGCAGGATAATTATTTTTAATTACATTTAATTTAAACGAACATTTGAAGCAGCCATAATAGCATAGCAGCCCACCGTTGCACTTGACATTATGTTTCCACAAAGTTTACAGATATGTTTTACAATTTTAAACTACTTTAGTTATTGTTATAATGAAATGTTATATAAAAGTTTGAGACACCTAGCATAAAAAAAATCACTGATTTACAAAACGTTTTATTTTTTTATTGCGTCCTAAAAGCGTATTTTCGTTGCACATGCAGTCATCTACTTTTATTTTTATCTATTCTTTTTATCTTTTAATAAAATAAAAATGAGATGAACATTGATTACTCTGCTGATGCTGAAATCGGCTTCTCTTAATTAATTTTTTTAAACATTTTGGGTCATTTCCTGTTGTTGTGAAGTAATGCAGGATTGGTTGCTCAAGTCTCCTTTCCTGTCTCCCTCAGTCAAGGTAAGTCACCGGAAATGTCTTGCAATGTATTTCATTTGCTTGTTATTAGAAGATTTACTTAGTTATAATGTGGCTTTTGTTCGTATTAGGACAGTACGCGCCTCATCTGTAAATATCTGTAAATTAGCGGGTGTGTTTCTAAAAAAGACTGTTAACATTTTGGCTAAAGGGAGAGAAATTTCAAATCCAACTGGTGTATAAACCAACAGATGGGCGTGGAGACTTGGACTTGGAGATGTGACAAGTGATTTTTGAAATCGCGACTGACATAATGAGTTGAAAAAAAAAGAGATCTCAATAAACTTGTCACTCAGTCTTAGAAAGGTTCGGTCATATTTGAGCTGTTTTCCATAACTGTAAGTCCACATTTCTAATCCTCACAGGGTTTGTGGTATTTGGCTTTGCACACTAGTCACTCAGGGTCGCAACCCCTGCAGGAAATATGGGCTACCATAGCAACAGAAAGATGGCCTCTAAAGGCTTAACATTATTCCGCCATAATAGAAAAATAACAGCGCCAAATCCCGTCCTTAGTGAGGAAGCTTATTTGGTAGAGGCAGGCTCCCACCTGTGATCCTTAGTTGCCACACCACTGTGCAAAGACCAAAGGGGAAAAGCCCATTTAAAACGCAGGGGTAGGGGTGGGGCTGTGTGCCTGCTTTCTAACCAAGCCACAATCTTTGCAGCTGCAAACAGCATTGCTTCAAAAGAAATCACTTCAGCGTCAAAATCACTAGCTGGCCTGTAAACAAATACAAGATGCCATTTTCAGTGACAGCAAGAACCTTGTTTACAACTACTAGTTGTTTTATTTAATTTGCCTTAACTGAGTTATGTTGGATAATTCAGCCATTGCATACGGTAACACAGGACCAACTGATGTAAAAGCCTTCCATTTCTGTGAATCAGTTGCACTGCAGTGTCTTTCTGGTGTCTTGTTACTGGCTGTTGTATTATTGTTGGGCAAAGGGATATTGTCATGGATATGAGGCATCCCTATATTTTGTGTCTGTTAATTAAACATATTTTTGAAGCTGAAACAACCTGTAGAATATGTTGTTGTTGTCATTGAAATCCTTTGCTATTTGTCCTTGTGCCGATTCTGTGCATTCAAAAATTTGAAAGATTAGCAATGCATGGAAAACAATATTGTTTTCCCAGAGCATTTCCTTTTGTTGTTGTTTTCTGAAGCCTCTTTGATTTTTCGGGCTGTGATCATGATGCTCGGCTCTTATTGTGGCTTGATGGTTTTGAATATGGGACGACAGTCATAACGGACACCATCAAGGATATCTTTGGACCACGCACTTCATTCTCTACGTAATTAAATCTGTATATTATTCGCAGTTGACCAATGAGAGGGCAGCTTCCCCTGCTGATCATGTTTCAGAGCCTTAAACTGGGCACCTTTCCACATCAAAGCACTCCTGAGTGCTTGCTTCTCAAGGACTCACGTCTTCGGGAAAGAATGGCCTCTACTTAGAAACGAACACCGCTGGTCTAATTTGCCTTGCATGGCCCTCTCCATCCCCCTAGTGTATGTGCAGCCTGGGCCTGATCTGACACAGCCGTGGCTATCTGACGAGATCACATGGAGAGGTGCGGGAACTTAAAGGTGAGGAGTTACTCTGCATCCTACCAGGAGCCTCAAAAGGACTGTATTAAAATGCGCTCGATATGCCGGTAAGGGCTTTCAAAGTGCTGCGCACCCTCTAGCCCCGGCAAACTACAAGGGCATCTGTGAACCCATGGTAAGGGGAATAAGACCCCTATTCATTTAATGAATCCAGGGTATTAGTATGCCTAACCAGCCTCCCATATTTTTATCTTTAGTCAAGTTCAGTGCAGCGATCTACTAACTTGGAAGTGACAAAGGCAGGTGGATGTTAGATGAATTTTGAGCTACATGCACAACTTTCTACATGAGAATCTCAACTGACAGCATTTGTTGGACAATGCTGATTACGTCGAAAAATAATTTGTACTTTAAAAAAAGCAAAAATGGAGTTTATAGAGAAGCACTTACAATGGAAGCGAATGGGCCAATTTTTCTATGTTATATGAAAGCACTTACAATTATTCTTCGGTTAAAACTTGTTTATTATTTGAGCTGTAAGGTATTTAAATAATAATTTTTACAATTGTTTTAGGGTTTTATGTTGTCGTGGCAAAGATAAAATTGGATATAATTTAAGACAAGAAAATGTTACTAAGTTTTGTTTACACTAAAATCATGCGTATGCATGTGTATTGTGCACGTCTTCTGTCTATACTGTTAAAGCAGTGGATATTTTCATGTTTACATATTGGCCCCATTCACTTCAGTTGTACTGTAAGTGCTTCACTTGTAACACAATTTATATTTTTTTCTGTACAGAAAATGAGGAATAAACGCATGCTAATTTTTGCAGTAATCATACCAAAAAAGCGGTCAACTAAGCCTAATTTATACTGGACCCGAAACATTCCTTTAAGAAAACCGGCGAAGCACGTCTCGTCGCATTGTGAAAGTTTGTTTTCACACTCAAACCTGCTAATATATCTTTAAAGGATAATGTTTAAGAAATTGGGCCAATAAATTTGCCAAAAGATGATAGACGGGAAGCATATATTTGCATAATTTCACACCCGCTTGGCGGTAAGCTGGGAACATGCTGGTCGTAGTGATGGAACTGTGAATCTTAACCATGTCTCACTGCAACTGGGCTGTGTTAGCTCAGCCTCTGTGCATCAGACTTGTTTGTGCCAAACAGGGAAGCATGACGTGGCGGAGGCTCCGCCCTGGACGTTGCGCACCTGAGAGTGGCGACTGATTTTGGTGTATTTGTGATAGCCACCTGCAAGAGATTTGGCAGATAGTGGAGTTTCGGACCAGGAATGGGCAGCTGCTGGACCTAATTAAAAGCACAGTAACAGAAACTATCGCAGCCACACATCAAGGTCTTAGACGATGTCCATCTGCAAGCTAATCTCTGGGGTGCAAGGACCTGATGTGACCGAAACCAGTTGCATGCTGGGCCACAAGCCTGACCCCTGGTCCAGCAGCTCGGTTGGGGCCAAGCTTACCTGTGCCTGACGAAAGGTGATGCGCTTCATCTGTGTTTGCGCGGCAACTCCAACCTGGAGTGCAGAGGTGAGAGGTCAGCAGTAGAGGGCAAGCTTAAGAGAATCACACATGGGGCACATTTACCAAACACTGTCTGGAGGTAACATGCATTTTCAACTGATATCGCTCCTCAGGAGCTCATGAAATGTTCACAGTGCCTTTGTACTTGCCCCCCTGACCTCAGTTAAAAGAAAGAAAAACTGCAGCCTTGATTGACTGCTTGCTGATTTGCCATGATAGTTAATTATCGCATGATAGTTTATTACCAAGACAGAGGGGCTTTAAAATTTCAAAGCTAAAGAATTGTTCACTTGATCTGCAAAATGCACCGAAAGAACATTTTAACCCCACTGTTGCTGGAGCGGCATTTTTCTTTTTATTTTGAAATTAATTAAAGCAGACAGTGAAAGAAGGATGTTCAAAACTAAACAATTAAACACTCACTCTCACACCTTTTAATGTATCCATCCTTCATTGGAACCTCGTGTGTGCCTGTCAGGGGAACCATAAACCTGTTATGCAGTTATCCATCACTTCAGCCTTATTCTGTAGTGATGTTATCCGAATCAAAGGTGTCGTAAGTCAGCGTTCACTCATAGTGATGTAAATAGTTTGACATTGTCTGCAGCACTGCCTGCTTATGCTTTATTGTTGTCAGACTTTTCCCAAGATTTTTTCTCCTTCTGATTTCTATCCAGCCTCTTTGGTTTTCCATCATGTAGAGTTAAAGAAACTAATGTAGTTTATATTACAGGCTTACAGTTTGTAAAAAAAGTCCTGAATAACAAACATGACAAAAACAGCTGACCCGAACTCTGCATTTAAAAAATTTGAAATAAAAAGGTTAAAAAAATAGTAACCTTAACGTGATTTGATTCTTGCTAACTAAAGCTAACATTTTTGTTATTATAATTTTTTTGTCCCTACTATCACTGAAATGGATGTCCTGAGAAATCACACCTGTTTTTATGACAGCCCTAGACTCTGTAAATGGTAAAAAGGAGTCAGGGGAGAATAGCCCATGTCTTTTTTTTTTTCTTGCAGAAACGCTTCATAATCATTATGTGTGTTAAGGTTTTCTGACATCTATGGGATTACATCTCTGCCACAATTCTGCGCACGAAAGATCATATTTTGAGCGCGCAAAAGTGCATTTTGCACGCGCGCGATCTGAGTTTTGTGGAGAAAATGTTAGTTTTGCAAAGAAAAAAGTATTTTGAGCGCACAAATCAATTTTGCATTTAAAATAAGTTTTTGGATTTGTGCAGACCTTCTCTTTTGCGAGTGCAACGTTTCACTAGCTTGCTCACCTGATGCCCGCCCTCAGTGCTCTCTACATGCCAACGGCTCGCTTTCTCAACACAACCCAGCATTACAATATGCCATAATTCCAGCCAATCAGAGACGAGGATGCTAAATTCTGATTGGCTGCCTTGACAACCAATCACAACATTCCATGCATGGCTGATGACAGCGGAAGAGGGAAAATACAGTGCATGCATAATTATTATGCAAGTTGATATTCTGATTATATTTTTTTCCAAGCACATTTTACCAATTCCAAACAACATCAATCTTAATAACTACTATTAATCTTGTATTTAATCACTTATA